ATATTGTAGATCAATAGTTTTGGGTGGAGACACAAAGCGAGGTGTTGGTAAATTATAGTTTTTATCATCATCGGAATGTAGCAGTATGTTGACCAATAACGTAACGTTTCTTAGAAGACCTAGCCAAATCGAGACCGAAAAAAAAAGTGACCAATAAAGGCTATGTATAGTGTTTCTGACCTGTGATTTACAAAGTTCTGTACGTACAATTGAGCATCGTACAGCTTTTTCTAGTTTTCATCTATATTTACGTGTGTCGAGTGTAAAATCAACCGTGTAAAACCAATCGCATCTAGTTCTACATTTCATGTTTCAAAGATCGACCCAGACAACACGACTAATGATTTAGATTATATCATACATATATTGCTTTTTCCTGCTGTTCCAAATTTTTCCAAACCCATAATATAAGTTCTAAAATCCCATTTACAGATTTTTATGGAAATCCGATTTCTCACTAAAGCTCCGGCTTTTAGTTCCTGACCAAAGCAAGCTTCTTTTTATATATATATTTCAATAAAACTTGTGCCCTTCTATTGTGTTTATAGCACGCGCATCGTTTGATACAGATGTCAGTGACCCTGTGCACGCTTTCTATTAAATATCTTTAAATCTCGGAGGATAAGTGAGAGTGACCGCATCAGAGAGTGAGAATTATATTTATCCGCAAAAATGGAAGATGGAAATCAAAAAACAGAAAGGCTTACAAGTAATTTTTCCTTGCGTTCACTTTCTTTTTCTTCTTCCAGTTTTTTTTATGGACGTTTAGTCAGGTTGCTCTTATGAAATGTTGGTACTAGAGGAACATGTTGTGATTTTTCTTTTTACCATCATCTTACCTATGAATCACGAACAAGTGATTTAAACTAGTCTTGTATCATTACGAGTAAAAACTTAAATAATAAGAAAAACGAACTGAAAACTTAAGAATAAATTAAAAGCAGTTATTCAGCTTTTGGTTGTCGTTGCTTTTGGTTTTTTTTTTTCAGCTCAAGCTACGCTCTGTACACTGCGGGAAATCGAACCTCGGATTTTCGCGTTCTAAGTCCGTAACTTACCGCTGGCCTACCCGGGAGGGGGGAACGCAGTTTTTGAGCAGTATTGTTTTAACCATCTCAATTAACACTATTTCTAGCAACACTATCAATGGAATGAAAACTGGTTAAATGTTACCGATCGCTTATTGAAAGTTTATTAATGTTATTGACCTTAATTTTCAGTATTTTAAGATAACTTTCAACATAACGCGAGGACTGCTGAGGATTTGCTTTCTACATAGCGCGAGGACCGCTGAGGATTGGCATCAGTATTCTTGATTCGCTTATGATACTCTGTATCATATTTCATTTTTGCATGTTCAATAATTAAGTAGTACCAATGATCTAATTGCTAACCTATTTTTCATACAGATCATGTTTAGTTTGGTTCCAAGATTTTGATTTTTTTCCAGATTCAATCTGATTTGGTTTTATCATATATTATTAGTTACTAATTCTTATCCAATTCCCTTCCATTCCAGGTGAATGGAGCCCCACAGTTGGGGCGAAGGTAAATTATGAAGCCCATCGAAATAGGGTAAATAACAATAGGAACCGAAAATCACGATATAAATTTTTAATGAACGGACATAACAGAACGTTTTGCAACAACCTGGGACCTATTGTACGTACTAAGCCTATTTTAACGGTGTAGTAAAATTTACACCACTAAATTCTACGTTAAAACTTTGACCGTTTTACTTTTACTTACTATATCCAGTTATTATTGTGTTATTTAACCCAAATTACTACAAATTATAATATTGTTTAATAAACGGACATAACAGAACGTTTTGCAACAACATGAGACCTATTGTACGTACTAAGCCTATTTTAACGGTGTAGTAAAATTTACACCACTAAACTCTACGTTAAAACTTTGACCGTCTTACTTTTACTTACTATATCCAGTTATTCTTGTGTTTTTTAACCCAAATTACTACAAATTATAATATTGATATTAAATGATTTTCAGGAAGCTATAAGAGCTTAACTTTTAAACGTCCTCTCTCTTCCTCTTACAACGCTAGAAACCGAGTTTCGATATCCGTGGTGGGCAGATCACAGATAGCCCTTTGTGTAGCTTTGTGCTTATCTTTAAAAAAACAACTCTCTTCCGTAGCGCCCTCTAGACTTAAAAAGGTTCGCAGAAACAGAAGAACAATAACTAAGTTGTGCCAGAAAACAACAACATAAAAATAAAGTTAATTGTGTAAGAAGAAAATTATCATTGTTATAAGCGACTATGATCTTTTTTTCCTGTGAAAGTGTGCCCTAATTTCTTGTAAGGTCTTTGTTAACTAAATCCCATATCGTTATTGGAAGTGACTGTGGTCGTCTTTCCTGTGAAACTGTGCCCTAATTTCTTGTAAAGTCTTTGTTAACTAAATCCTATATTTTCAATGTTAAACAGAAAATAATAAAATATCTTTATATCTCATCGCAAGGTTGAAATTTAACAGTTAACTTAAAATCAACGTGTTTGTTTATGGAGGTGAATAGAACTGATGCTTTTAGTTCGTGTTTTATATTTCTGTAATAATAACTTATAAAACGTATCTCGTCATAGAAGTTCGTCCATTATTCTGTGGACTTAAGAAAATAAGAGCTGGAGTGCATAATTCAGTGTTTGACTTAGACCAAAGATTTTTCCAGTATCCATTGTCAAAATTGAGAAAAATTTTCGGTAACAAATTTCAAACTGTGTAAAAATGGAGGAAGTCCGAACTACCAAAAAAAAACCACACACATCGTGCACTCCTGAGCCTCAGCTTGTAGCGCTAAACCTCGGATTCCGTTACCATTGGTAGGCAGACCACATATAGCACATTGTGTAGCTTGGAGCTTAACAATAAAAAAAAAAAACCACATTGTTTTGATATCGAAGGCCTCAATGAAATTCAGTTGGTTAAAAACGACACAAACATCTTTTATGTATGTATTTACTTAAACTTCCACCACCACATATTACAACGTTATAGCTACCTTTCGTATTTATGAGTTTTTATTCGAACCTCTTCTTCTAATTTGCCGCACATTTCTTTATGTATTCCTTCAAGTTTGGTCCAGCATGACCAGGTGGTCAGGACGCTCGACTCGCAATCTAAAGGTCGCGGGTTCGAATCCACGTACCACCAAACATGCTCGCCCTTTCAGCCGTAGTGGCGTTATAATGTGACGGTCAATCCCACTATTCGTTGGTAAATAAGTAGCCCAAGAGTTGGCGGTGGGTGGTGAAGACTAGCTGCCTTCCCTCTAGTCTCACACTGCTGGTCCTTTATCTCAGCTCATGAATTGTTAAGGCAATATTTTTACATCAGTTTCCACTAGAGCAAGTTCATTACTAATCTTTTTAAAGGCAGATTGGTTACTTATCTTTTTAAAGGCAGATTCCATCTAAATAATTCCAAATGAATAATCTAAAAGAAAATAAAGATGTTTATTCTATATAATTCTTAACAAACAATCTAAAAGCGCAAATCGTGGAGGCGGATGGCGAAAGATCTATGCTGATCCTTTTAGTTTGTCCGCCATTATACTTTAAGAAAGTTCGTGCATTTCCGAGATGATCCGATACCTTCAGCTTCAAAAGTCGTTTTGCGATTGGTCGTCTGTCTGTCAATCAATCAGTTAAAAGGAGCATCGCATATCGATTTCGGTTTAGCCTAAATATCAAGACAATCTCGGACAGATCCAACTAACACTTGTGCTTTCACCCCACCCCCAACCATGAAATTCACCGAAAAGTGATCAGTTTTAATCTTTGAAACTTAGTCGTGGGGTTGAATATGTGGCTTACCAATAATGCTTGGAGACGGCTTGAATGGGTAATGAAGAAAAACTTTAATACAAGTTGAACATAACAGCAAATGTACAACGTTTCATACCTGATGATGACAGAACCTTGTCGAAACGTTGTA